TGTTTGATCTCTGTTAATATTTCTCTTGGTGAAGTAGGCTCAATGTGGCCTTCTTCTTGATAGGGTTCATTCCAGGGAAGATTTTCATCCTGTGCTTCGTTAGCCTGAAATGTCTTTTCTAAATGACTTGCAAAAAGTTCTACTTTTTCTTCGTTACTCCTTGCCCATTGCTGATTTGACTTTCTTATGGGTGGAATTTGGGTAACTGGTCTTTTAAGGCCTTTAGTATTGCTTTCCAAAGAGAATAATGAGTACTTTTGTCGACGGTGAGTTCACTAAGGTAATTGTTAATAGATTGATTTCTTGAATTTCTCGCCTTATGCGCTGCGTCATATTGTTGATAATTGTTTTGTCATGGGGATCTCGACTTTGCTGCCATTTTCTTCTTAGTTTCCTTTTTTCTATAATAATATCTCTAATTTCTTTTGGGTAGTTTTTTCCCTTAAAAATTCCTTTTAATTTGGGACTGTTTCCCCAAGCTGCTTGTTGAATATTAACGATAAAGCAATCGACTTCTTCATCAATTTGTTGTGGTGTTCGCAACGGTACTGATAAGTTTATCTTTTCCGACAGACTTTGTTTAAAACTAGCCCAGTCCGTCAGTATATTAACTAATGAGATATGTGCTATTTTCTTAATTATATATTCACTCAGAGTTAGGATAATAGGTGAGTGATCTGAGTGTAAATCATAACTTTCTTCTATCTCCAGAAAATTTGGAGATATATTTTTTATTACGAAAAAATCGATTAGATCGGGAATTTTTCCAGGATCGGTTGGATGGTGCTGAACCCCCCCCCCCCCCCCCCCCCCCCCCCCCCGTTTTTTCCATTAATATATTGACCAGAAACAAAAATCAATACAACCTTCAGTGTGGTGAACTGTGCTGTTAATATTCTCAACTTAGTTTTTCGTTTAACCCTCGTTTTCTCAAAAAATGCAATGGCGGGGCCAACTTGACGCTTATGGCTATATAAGGTGCTATAAGGGGGGCTACCCTCGGTTTCTTCGATAATCAGACAAAAGCAAATACAAATCATATTCCAAAAATCCCTATAATATTCGTTTGGCAGATATTCCATAGAATATCTGCCATGCTGGTCATGAAACATATATTCCATAGAATATATATTTTCATGACCAACAATATGTTTTGGGTGAAATAATTTCGTACGTGGGATCAGGGGGGCTGAGCGGGAAGTTGGGTGCGCCATAGCATTTTTTGCGAAAAACAAGGATTAACCGAAAAACTAAGTCGAAAACATGAACAGCACAGTTCAGCACAGTAAAAGTTGCATTCATTTTTACTCACTTCTGATAAAATAATCCAAAAAATGAGGGGACTGAGCGTCAAGTTGGCCCTGCCGGCCCGCCATAGCATTTTTTGAGAAAACGAGGGTTAAACGAAAAACTGAGCTAAAAATATTAACAGAACAGTTCAGCACACTGGAAGTTGCATTGATTTTTGCTTTTGTTCAATAAAATAATTGAAAAAACGGGGGGGCTGAGCGTCAAGTTGGCCCCGCCATAGCATTTTTTGGGAGAAACGAGGGTTAAACGAAAAACTGAGCTAAAAATATTAGCAGCACAGTTCAGCACACTGGAAGTTGCATTGATTTTTGCTTTTGTTCAATGAAATAATCGAAAAAACGGGGGGGCTGAGCGTCTAGTTGGCCCCGCCATAACATTTTTTGAGAAAACCAGGGTTGAACGAAAAACTGAGGTAAAAATATTAACAGCACAGTTCAGCACACTGGAAGCTGCATTGATTTTTGCTTTTGTTCAATAAAATAATCGAAAAAACGGGGGTGGGGGGCTGAGCGTCAAGTTGGCCCCGCCATAGCATTTTTTGAGAGAAACGAGGGTTAAACGAAAAACTGAGCTAAAAATATTAAAACACAGTTCAGCACACGGGAAGTTGCATTGATTTTTGCTTTCGTTCAATAAAATAATCGAAAAAACGGGGGGGCTGAGCGTCAAGTTGGCCCCGCCATAACATTTTTTGAGAAAACGAGGGTTGAACGAAAAACTGAGCTAAAAATATTAACAGCACAGTGCAGCACACTGGAAGATGCATTGATTTTTGCTTTTGTTCAATAAAATAATCGAAAAAACGGGGGGGCTGAGCGTCAAGTTGGCCCCGCCATAACATTTTTTGAGAAAACGAGGGTTGAACGAAAAACTGAGCTAAAAATATTAACAGCACAGTTCAGCACACTGGAAGCTGCATTGATTTTTGCTTTTGTTCAATAAAATAAGCGAAAAAACGGGGGGGCTGAGCGTCAAGTTGGCCCCGCCATAGCATTTTTTGAGAGAAACGAGGGTTAAACGAAAAACTGAGCTAAAAATATTAAAACACAGTTCAGCACACTGGAAGTTGCATTGATTTTTGCTTTTGTTCAATAAAATAATCGAAAAAACGGGGGGGCTGAGCGTCAAGTTGGCCCCGCCATAGCATTTTTTGAGAAAACGAGGGTTGAACGCAAATCTAACGTGAAAATATTAACAGCACAGTTCAGCACACTGGAAGTTACATTGATTTTTGCTTTTGTTCAATAAAATAATCGAAAAAACGGGGGGGCTGAGCGTCAAGTTTTTGTGAATAGCATTGAGTGCAACTCAGCACAGTTCCTGATACTAGTAGCACAGTAGAGCACACTGGGAGCATAGTTAATTAGCACGAAAAAAAAATGAAAAATTTAATAGGCGGGGCTAACTTGACGGAGCTCTGCCTACCTATTATCTGAAATGTTTCAATCATCGTTATGGTTCCACATTCAAATGTTACATGTCGTTAAGGATATAAATAAAATGTATTAGGCCCTTTATGTTTACATAATTATTGTTCACACTCGACTATCGTATAATTGAAACGTCCTGCTTTAATAATAAATGATAAAAAAGGAAACATATACACGAAAGAGCTTTTTACCTTATATACCTGTTAATTGAAGAGGTATATAAAAATGTTAAATATAAAAGTTGTTGGGATTTTTATGAGAAATTAGGAGCATTCATTAAAAAAAATGGAAAGGCGGGTTTGAAAAATATAGCAAAAAATTTAACATTTCTTGCTTAATTTAAACGGAATTACTCACTTTTGAATATATTTTTGGATTCCACATTAAATTTTAACCCTGATATATATTACATGTCCTATAATTAAATTCAGCAATTTTGGAGATATCGCTAATCAATGATTTTTCAATATAAATTACAAAAATAATTATATTTCATCGTTGGAAGCTGGTAAGAGTGGTAAGTTCCCTAGTCTTGCTTATTACTATTGTTTATAATCATTATATTGAAAATGTGTCCAATATTAGATGATATATGTAAAATTTTGCTTAAATCCAGCTTCACCTGATTCACCTTTTACGTAATTTACCTTGGTAAAAGGTGAACCAGGTGAAGCTACATTGAAGCAAAATTTAGCGTATTTGATCTAATATTGGACTAATTTTCGATATAATAATTAAAAACATTAGTAATAAGCAAGACTAGATGGGAACCTACCACTCTTACCAGCTTCCCACGATGAAATATCATTTTTTTTTGTAATTTATTTTGAAAAATCATTGATATGGGATACCTCCAAAATTTCTAAATTTAACTATAGGACAGGTAACATATATCAGGTCTCAAGTTTAATGTAGAATCCAAAAACATATTCTTAAATGGGTCATTCCATTTAAATTAAGCAAGAAATGGTGAATTTCTTACTTTATTCTCTAAACCCGCCTTTCCATTTTTTTTTAATAAATGCTCCTCATTCCTCATAAAAATCCCAACAACTTTTATATTCAACATTTTTTTGTACCTCTTCAATTAACAGGTATATAAGCTAGAAAGCACTTTCGTTGGATAACACTGTACATACATATAATAATTAAAAAAATAATTTAACATTCTGCTAAAGCAAGTGGTAAATAGCTTTATCAAAAACAAAATCAAGAGTCATAATCGTTTAGCCACCAGAGTCCTTATTCTTGAAACAGGGGAGCAACGTTAAGAGTTACGCAAGTTAAAATTAGTGATCCTGTAGTGTACCTTTCGAAAGATATAAACGATAGACCGATACAAGGAGCTTTTCACGCAGAGAAATTGCAAAAAACTAAGAACCCAGACGTTTATCTAGTAGAGAAAGTGCTACGTAAAAAGGATAATAAAGTATTTGTAAAATGGCTTGGATGTGACAAATCATTTAACAGTTGGATAGCTGCTGTAAATAAGTTATAAATACTGTGCGTAGGTGCTTCTTCACCGCCACCATTACCTTCAAACCTGAAATTGATCTGTGAAAATTTCAGTAATCAAATAACAGCAAAGTACCTACATGTATTTTGATGAATGTTTACGATGATGATTTGGATCAAGTGCTAAATATGTACCTATGCAGAAGCTGCTGCAGCAACACCACAAAAATGAGGTGGAAAAGCTTAAAATATCAGAAGCATGACTCAAGAACAACAAAAGAAGTTGGTAAACATGATAATGGAGGTTCTTTTCGTGAGAGGCAAGTGGACTCAAGTTGGAAGTAGGTCTAAGATATTCATAGTCGTGGCTTATGCTCGCCTTGTGCTCTTGCTCGCGTAAGCACGACTTGAGCAAATGTCAACCTCAAGTACGTGTCACGTTTCATAGTCGATAGTCCAGGGCTGCGTTCAGGAACGGCTACAGCCACGCCAAAATTGGCTTATTGCGTTCGAGTTCGGCTATAGCGTGCGAAATACGGGTGGCTTTGCGCGTTCAAGATCGGCCGCGGTAAAGTAACTTTTGGAGGTCCTTTCAACTGAGTCTAGAAATGGTTATACGAATTTTAATTGGATAACGGGGTCTGTCACTTTTGGCGCTGTCGCGAAAGTCAAATAAATAATCAGCTGTGCTGCTGCGTTTTGTTTGTTTGTGTATGGACACATGCATATGGTTTGTGTCTTTGGTTTGTGCGGAGCTGAGAAGTGAGCAGTAAGCAGTTGCGTTAGATTTTCTCACAGAAAAAAATGGTGGTTTTTATCAATGTAAGACTGATTAAAGTGGAACGGGATTGCTATATCCTGAGAGCAGAAGGTTAGATCTGCCATCATCAAGTATTCGTTTTATAATTCATCATTATTATTTTTTAGATGATAGTTCTGACTATGAAGTGCCTATATCGGCTTTCGATTTGAAGGACGGATTAATCATCCCTGTTGCAGAAGATACATTTTTGAAGTTGAATCTCCTTGGGACAGGTCAGGCCACGGCGAGGGCCACGGATACACCGGAAAAAGAAAATAATTGCAGTGGAAGTCCATCAAATGGATTACCAAAGATATCTCCACTCATAACACCTACTTCAACAAGTAAGATATCAAAACATCTTAACATTTCATTTGGTCAAGTTGAAAATGAAGTGCATTAAATAAGATTATTGAGAAAAAATCAAAGACATTTGATATTTTTGAATGATTGAGGTAGTTTTGAATAAAATACCTGTAATTAATATGGATATTTTCTTAAAAAACTAGACTTAATATGTATGAGAAGGTAAAGGCAAATATAAATGCATGGGTTTGATATGGGGCTAAATGAAAATGATTGGAAAAACTAAATTTACAGCAGATACAAGCAGATATTTGTTTTACTCACTCAAGTATCAAGCAAATCAGCATAACAAATATGGATATTTTTTTCTGCAGAACAAAATACATTGTAATTTGTTTTTTTTTTCAGTCCAAATAGCAGATTGTCACACAATTTTTAACAATGCAAATGCAGGTTTTTTAGTTATATTTCTCTTTCAGAAAAGAAATGGTTAAGTGCACCCGTGAAAAATCTCCTTTTCCATTATGGAGAACACAGGCCTCAATTTTCAAGCACTTCCATAAGAGCAGAGGAAGTGTGGAAAAAGATCCACGAAAAGATGGCTGGAGACGGTTTTCATTTTACTTCAGAGCAAATAAAAACAAAATTCAGCAAATTAAAGCAGCAGTACATGAAAGTGAAAGACAATAATTTACAAACTGGTGTAGCTCCTATGGATTTCCAGTGGTTGGAGGAATTCGACGCAATTTTTGCTAAAAACCATAATGTGGAACCAGTGGCAACTGCAAGTTCTCTAACATTCACACCATTAGCTGCAAAACCGACAAGTAGCACCAGCGTAATTCCAAAACATTCAAAAAAAATTAACACTGAAAAAATTATAGAAAACATCGAAAAAATGAGGCAGGAGCGGGCAAATCGACAACATGAAAGGAATGAAGAAAGAAGCATCGAGCGACGAGAGATATTGAATGAGCTCCGTAGAGGGAATGACCTTTTTGAAAAAGTGTTGGAAAAGTTTGCTGAGAAAAAATAGTTTTAATATTTATCATCAAATGAATGTATGTATGTACAGCGTGTCTCATTTAAGATAGTATTGAGGGTTACCTTTGAGCCGATGGTAGGCAGAAAAAAACTTGGTGCAGATTCCCTACTTGTTTAGTGCGAATCCACTGCTGCAAACCGTTTTTTAATAGCTCGTCTTGTTTACGAAAAACAATGTTGTGCCCTAGATAGAGTTTTTCGCGTAGAATCCATTGGCGTATGAGCACTTTTTGGATTTTTTTCAAAGTTCTAACACAAACTTTTTTTTTTTTTAATGGGACACATGTATTTTATTATTTTAATTAATAGGGGCTAACGATATATAACATGTAGGTTTAATATTAAAATAGGCATTACATGTTATACATATATCGTTAGCAGAAAAAATCCCTAATAATTAGGATAATGAAATGCAGAGTGTCCCATTGAAAAAAAAGCAAGTTTGTGTTGAAACTTGAAAAAATTTGAACAACAAATTTTTCATACGCCAATGGATTTTACGTGAAAAACTTTATGTATTTTTCACTTTTTTTTCTATCATTCGTTGTTGAAAGTGAAGTCAAGGATGGAGAAAACACAAAAAAAAAGCTATTTCACCCTGTATTTCTAAAACGAGGCGAGCTATCAAAAAACGGTTTGCGGGAGCAAATTCACTCTAAAAAGGTAAGACAGGAATCCGCAATCAGTTTTTTTCTACCTACCATGGGCAACAGGGGCTCAAAGATAACCCCCAATACAATCTTAAATTGGACACCCTGTACTTATAATCAATTAAAGAAAGAGTTTTTTTTGTTCCTATGTTCCTACTTGAGTGATACTGATAACCCGTATTGAATTTAGTTTATATAAGTATACAGTTTATTTCGTATAGGTACATATTAGAGGGTTGATCTGTGATCAGTGGCCAAATAGTTATTGTATCTTATTTTTTGATTAATATTATATTATAATAAAAAGATAAAATTAAGTGTGTTTTTTTTGTACCTACGGATTAAATTAAAATAATTACTATTTTTTATTAGGCCCATATTCGCATTAATCAAAAAGGCTCATGAATATATGTATATCATTCCCTAGGGACAGTAGCTGTAAATAAAATAAAAAGTAAATTGAAAATACATCTTCAAATTAATTTAAAATTACATATTGAGAAAAGTATATTGAAATTGAAATCGAATGCTTTTCATCTTATGCATGGCTATCTGCAATATCATTTTGGTCTTATTTCTGCATACTCACTCAGTTAATTTACATTTTTAACAATAGAAAAATTACAAATTCAGGTAATTTATATATTTATTTTTATATATGTATATGATTTACATTGCATTGATAATTCTATGTACGTTATCACAAAATATATCAGAAGAACAATCACAGATCAGGTAGATGAATTGCATTTTGTCTGGCCATTGGTAACCCCTCTTCAATATATTGCTCAATATTGTCATTGCATAAAATGCATATGTTGTGTAAAACACATGCAGCCAATATTGTTCCAGGTACCCAATCTAATCTGTTCATATCTAAATCCCTTAACCTTCTCCAGCGTCCAAAAAAATGGGCAAAACTCCTCTCTACTACCGATCGTGCGCTTGAGTGTGTTCTATTAAATTCTATCTGGTTTTCATTCAAATTTCCCCGATTTATAAAAGGCACTTGTAACCATAACATAAGGCATACCCCTTATCACCCAAAATCACCTCTCCATTAGGAAAAAATTCCTGAGGTTCTTCTTGTGCTCTTAAATAAAGAGGTGAATTTCGAAGTACACGTATGTCGCTAACTGAGCTAGGAAATCCAGTGAAACAATTTGTGAATGCCATATTTTCATTGCAAACTACTTGCAGAGTCATGCCTGTAAATCTTTTCCTATTGGTATAAACTTGCGGCTGGGCAGCTGGCACTTTCATTGGAACATAGGTGCCATCTATTGCTCCAATTACCCGCTCAAAACCTTCCCCATATCTTCTGCCAAAATATTCTTTGCTCTGCTCCATTTCTTGGGCCAAAGGCCACTTAATAAAAAAGGATGCAATCCGGTTCAATCCATTAATGATTCTAAGAAAGTCACGACTCAATGATGATTTGGCCATATTCAGTCTACCTCCAACTGATCTAAAATTAAAAAATAGAGTAAGCAATTGGTAAGCGCCACAATTCTGATAAGAAGAATTTTTTTCAATGGAATAAAGAAATGGAATTTTATAATATAGATATTATTGAAGCAGGATTGGGAGTATTGAGACTTAATGAGACTCCAAGTTAGGACACTCAACCTAGTAAAATATATAGTTATAATGTAACATGAAAGTAGAGAAAATTTTTAAAAACAAAATAACATTATTTTAAATGACATAACACCACTTCATTAATAATCTGAATTACCTGAAGCTATCTGGGGAAGCTAATAACCAAATTACAGCTAATAGAGCCCTTTCTATTTGGGATGGTTCGTTTCCTCCATAAAGCTGACACATTTTATTAAAAATAATGTGGAAAGCATGTCTACTGAGCCGGAAATTCTCTCTAAACTCAAGGTCATTGTACTTTGCAGCAACTTGTTCTAAAAATCCTTAAATTCTTATAGGAATTTGCTACTTCTCACAAAGCTGCAGCAACAATTCCTCTTCCTCTTCCTCTTCTTCATCTTCATCTTCATCAGACTCAGAATCATCACAAAGCTAAAATAGAATAATTTTATGCTGATAATACCTAAATATATGTCCTGCTCACAATCCGATGTCCACAGGTGCAGGTAAATTTATCACCTTTCCCTATCAAATAACATTGAAAGGTGATTTTACCTGCACCTACCTGTGGACATCGGATTGTGAACGGATAATATATAAATATAGGTCGACAGGCACTGCCAAATAGGCCCCCTTTATTTATAGAGCCAGTCAAAAATATTGAAAAATCTAATTGTTACTACTTAGGTAAAGGTATGCTGTTTTACCTAGTAAAACATGCTTCTCATTGTGCTTATGTAATTGAAACATGTGGAGTGTGGAGTATTGATAATTCAATAGTGTTCAGGTTTGACCTGAGGGACCTAATCAAATAATGTGTAGAGTATAGGTACCTAATCATTGTATTCTTACTTGCAACATTAATAGCAATGAGTTTTGTCTAATTTTCAATAATGAATGCAGCATTATTGCTGCATTTGGATCCTCTGCTATCGCTAAGCCACAGGCTATAGGCACTGTCTATAGGGCTCCTCACTCCATATGATAGCTCGCCAGTAATATAACAAATCACAACACAAATAAACGGTACGAAAAGCTCCTACAACAAAAATATACAAGAGAAAATACTAGACCTGCAAATCTGAAAATATTAAATTAAAGTTTTTTTAAGAAAATTAAAGTTTTTTTAAGAAAATTGAAAAATTGAAAACAAACAAACAATGGAGAAATTTATAGGTTAATTTGCGCGGCAAACCGGCAGATTCAAATTTTAGTGGCATGAGAAACGGTATATCGCGTTCCAGCAAATTAGACACTTGGTTTGGCATCACCAGTGGAGGGGGAAAAGTAGGTTTTGGCATTAGCATTGCCGTCCTTGAACGCACTCCAGGTATTCTCGACTGAGGTTTCGCTCAAGTTTATTGTAGTAGATGCCAAGCGAAAATTAGAAGATAAGAGAAGTTAACCTCAAATTTTGGCATGAATTTGTTGTTTTTGCTTACAAATTCTTGCTACACTTTTAAGAGATATCATGATAATAATTTCTGTACTATATTATTTGCAAGGTAGGTAAAAACGTAAACATTCATTAATAACGCTCTTTCTATTAATTGTTAAATTATCTATAGTTTTTAGATTAGTGAAGGGAGCAGAACTGAAGTGTCTTCCACACAAAGTTGCTGCTGACTCAGCTCGTGTTTCCATGTATACATATAGCATAGTGGAGAACAAGAAGAAGGATTGTGGTTTTAAAAAGAGCTTATCTGATTTGTTAGTCGATTTGTTAGTCATACCAAGTCCATATTTATGGTGATATTTTTTCAGATGCTTTTCGAAGATCATTGGTTTTGAGGATAGGAAAAAAACTTTTTTACTAGATTTGACCGGCCGTGAAAGCCTTCATTCTTTATTTAAGTTACAATTGTATTATATTGAGTGTAGTTTAGTTTTAAGTTCATTATTATTTCATGGTTTTCATAAAAACAACAAACATCTCCATTTATTCATGTATAGACAATACTTTGATTAAATCACTCTTTGACCTGTCTGGATTGCTAGTGAAACCCCCTTATTTATTTTTAAGCAAAATTAACAAATATAAAAAATAATGTGGAAATTTTGGGTTATTTTCTTCGCTTTTTCATCCACAGACTCGTTCAGATCTCATCAGTGTGGCTAGAAAAGCAAAGAAACCCAACCCAAGTTTAGTGCCTGTGATAAAGTAGAAGAAGTACGATGGGAGACTTATGATCGTGGCGCCATCTAAGACTTGGATACAGCACTAAACAACATTTTGCTGTATTAGTACTGACCGCCAATAGGCCGACCAAAAATCAGTTAGTTGGGAAAACCCAAAATAGGGAAAACAAGTTTCTTCTATTATACACTGAATCTGAATAAAAATGGAAGTGGGTGACTTAGAAAATAAAAAACATTTAAAAACTATTTTCCATTGTTATTATATATTACAACTAGCTAATGACCCGCTGCGTTACCAGCGTGTAAATACATTTTGAAATAATACACTTCTTTTCAAATTTTGTTGTTGATTTTCTATTTATTTATTTTTTTTAAATCCGATATCAGAGTCGCTTGCCAGTGAGTTCAGTGACGCATTTTAAGCACTCCAGAGCTGCTCTAGAGCGCCCCGGGCTGTTTATAGGCGTTCCAGTGTATCAGAGTTTTACGCAACCGATCTTTTTTTTTTTTCGGGATAAAAAATAGCCTATATCACTCTCCTCTATAGCCGATTCGATTGACCTGATTAGATCGATCTGGTTCAATTTAAGTGAACCACACT